CGAAACTTCACGCTTCGTATTCAACCTGGCCACGATATTTCGTCAAAATCCTGTGCCTATTGTGACTACATCGCTTCTCCCTTTCTTATTCGCCGAGACTTACTCCAGCGCTTACTGGAATACCGATCGGAGCTATCCGGAGCCCTGACATTTGTGGAAATGTTCCTGAAACAAAAACAATCACCTGAGTACTATACTCTACAAACGATGTCTTGTATTGATGTTTTGTTCCACGTTGCTGGTGAAAGCTCCGGGATTCGGGGCCAAGGTGTGGCGGAGATCCCAAAACACTTTTGGTTCAACCTGGCCAAGCATTGGACGCTTGATCGAGTTATTCTTCCTGGTCAAGTGGATTACAAATGGACCTGTCAGGATTTAGATATTTCCTGCCGTAAGTACCAAAATGCAGGTGTAATCCTGCCTCGATGCTGCCTCGAGGAGCTGTCGGGTTGTGTTAAAGGATTCCTAAATTTGGCATCGGAATACAACATTTCCGTGTTTGTGTTTGCCGGCACATTGGTTGGCGCGGTTAAGACTTACGGAGGATTCCTTCCTTGGGAACGCGATGCTGATATTGTCTGGGATCCTTTCGCCTACGACCACATACGTGGACCCATTAGTAAAAGGTTGAAAGACAAGTTTCAATGTGACCTTGGTCCTGTACGACTGGAAACAGCTTATGGCGATAACGTAAGTGCGTGCGCCCAAGCTCTCAATACTTCATGTCTTTATTATAAACTCCATTCACGGTCTTGGAATATTGATCTTTGGGGTGATCCTCATCTTGAACCTTACCGCTTAAATGGCCTAATAAATCCAACGCAGGTATACTTGGATGGGCTATGGGTATCCACGGTCCCCAACCCTGGCCGTGTTGCTCGCCATCGTTATGGAGATAACGTACTTGGTCACGTGCAGCACTGGCAAGACTACGGACTAAAGACGAGCTGGGAGAGCTACGCGAATTTCGAAAAGAAGGCTTTTCTTCCATGTCCGGCCAGATTCGTACGACATGCATGCTTATCGGGAAACTATTTACCGCACGGAAATATCCAGTTTCAGGATTTTCCACCGTAGATAATTAACTCATGTTGGTTTGTTTTTCTACATCCGTATCCTTCCACGCTATATCGGAATCCAAAAGTGACCATGCGTTTGTACTACAACAGTTCCGATGG